GGTTAAAGATTTCCCACACGAATACGAGCGGTACTGGGCAAAGACAGCTTGATTTCTTGCTTCAGACAAGGTATCCATTTGTAGAAGTCTTATGAAGATAAGCCTATCCAATAGTGACAGGACCAGGACATACCATCGACTTTAGATTGACAAATATATATGTTAAATACAGACACAATGTAGGCCTATACGCAGTTATAGAGTCCAGTTAAAATATTGTACGGTATTTAGTAAAATAAATTAAATTAAACAAAAATAAGGAAGAAGCATAGGAAGATAGAAGAATAGGAAAGAAATTTGGAGCGGCTGAAATATTTATCGAAAATAAACAATAATAATCATTTTGGAATTATTACATCATGTTTTTGGGAAAGTTTGTTGGCACTAATCTTCAGAGGTCAAGGTGCCGGTAGCCTACACTTTTCATATATATGCCCTATATGAAAAGGTGTATTAATAAAGCTTTAGTACGGTAACGCTAGGCCTACCGTATATAAGGCAAACAAAATCGGATGAAAACTATGAATCTTACCTTGAATGATTTAGTACTAGTGCATATATAAAAGAATATGCTATAATAGAGATCAGTGGTTCTGTTTGTCTGCTGGGTTCGTACTGAGCCAGAATTTGTAGTCCATTTCAATATATCGATTCTATAGTCGGCTTCCTTCTTTTAAGCAGTTTAATATATGTATATAATGATTTACTCGTGTAACTCCTACTCTTGTAATTATTTATGTATATAGTTTTTTTTAATATAATGATTTCATTTTTTAAAATTAATAATTTAATATTTAATATGTAATAATTTACTACGTTTTGCAGCTGTACTGTGCTATGATAAGACAATCTTTCTATATAGACTATTTGTGGTTTCTGTTATTTTGCGAAATTAATAATATATCAGGATTAACAAAATTAATTAAATAAATCTAATGGTATGTCTCTTTATATATTAAATAATTAAGATTAGTAGTTTGTTTTCTATCTTGGTCTCATTCTGTCACTCAGTAATATGTCATTTATATAGTAGGCCTACTATAGACACTTTTTAAATAATAATAATAATAATAATAATAATAATAATAATAATAAATTTCTATTTATATTGCGCATATTGTAAGAAACTGCCTGTATGCGCTTAACAACAACCAAAAAGGATTTAAAACAAAAATAATGATAAATATAATAGTAATAAGGTGTGGTGGCAAGCACTGCACAATCTCTTAAGGTCAACCAACTTTTTTATTTATGTTTTTTTAGTTTGTGTGAAAAAAAAAACAACAAGAAAACAAATGTCCTAGTATTTTTCTTGCTTGAGCCACCTAGGTAGGTAAAACAACCACCTGTCTAACAGGAGCAGGTTCATTGAATTTAGGCCTATACCATCAAATTTGATATCTGCAACTTGGCTATTTTGAATATTTCGTTATGTTATTTTCATACATAAAATTGCATTCGCTTTGGCTTGTGGAAGGTGCTAATACACGACAAATACAATTTGAGTCCCTGTCATCAAGAGGTGCCGCCGAAATAGGCGAAGTCGAGTAAATTTGTCGTTATAGAACAAAGAAACTGTTCCTTTGCTCTATGATCTGTCACAATGAACAATGAACAAAGGTAGTGTGAATAAAAAGTGAAACAAGAAATATGGGCATTGATGGGAATGTGAACGCCAAGAAAGCGACACCGGGCTTGTTGAGCAAAGAAATAATGACAATGGATTCCTGATGATGACATAATTAATGTCGAAATATTAAATCCCGACACGATAGCTTGCATTTCGATACTTGGAGTATGCATTATACTATCTTATCTGAGATTAATCAGTGGGCATTTCGGTTTATGGATTTGATTGTTAATAGAAATGTACATAGGTTATCTGGATCTTTTATTCAAGTTTGGACATCAGTATTTATTTATTTATCATCCTAATTATCACCACCTCTCAGTGGTGGCTCCAAAAATTTGCAGACAAGTGGTCCGACATGGGCCAAGGCGCCCAAGGACCCGTCTGATGCCTCAGCTACAACTACCAGCTCGTATCGGCTGTTGTGACAGCTATCAATAATAAAATGTCGCCCTCTTGCGACCGAACCTTGGATTAAAGGGACTAAATTTTTTAATGTAATCTTCAATAGCATAAGTTTAAAGTTGGAATAAAGGATATTTAATTAGAATAACAGGGAGTGAAGATTTGCCAGTGCAATCGTAGAGGCACACCACACCTACTCTAACCAAGTTTGGGTTAGCTGCTTTTGATATAAATTATAATACAGGTCTCCATCTAATTAAAGACCCCGCCAATTAAAAGACCACTATAATTCACAAAAATATATTTTATCTTTATTATTCTTATTAATATTAGAAACTAAAGTGGCTAACGACCATGGAAACCCTGGTCCCAGAAGTGGTCTTTAATTTAAGGGAGACGGTAGTTATAATGGCAGCTCAATAAGAAGAATAGTTATATGCCGGGCACCCACTGCGGCCGATGGTCATCGGCAGCAGACGGTGTCGTCTAGTGCTCTCAGATGAGTGGACTTTAGCCGTGCGACGGCCGTACGACGCGTGAGTGCCCGGCCCTACAGGAATGATTATCAGTTGTTATGGCAAAGGCCCAACAAGATGAATTAATTTATCATTATGCATTCACTGATTCATCCATCCACCCGTCCGTATCGTCCGTCCATCCATCCATCATCCATACATAGTTCGTCATTCATTAATATATTCAATTGATAGTTCATGTGTAATTCAGGTAACCTTTTATTAGATATTTAAGCCTATTATTCAGGTACCAATGAATATTTAATTATTTAGTTTCTTAAAATAATGACTGTGGCGGAATCAAGAAGTTGGGGAACCGTCCGGCCCCTCCCCTAAATCTTTCAAAAAATAAAAACAAAAAGTTCAGAAAAATATAATTATATTCGAACTCCAGTCTGAGAGTGCCATTTCCGGCCATTGGAGGTGCCATAGTCATAAATCTAGACCCTTCATCTGTGAAAATCTCTCCCTCCCACCCCTTCCCCCCATCTATTTCGAATTCCTGGATCCGCCACTGATGAATACTGTACGAGAGATGATCGCTTATGTGGGGGCACATGTCATATTATTATTATCATCATTATTTACATGAGATTGGTTGGTGGTCTGATTGAGGGATTGATTGATGGATAACAGATAGTTAAGTTAATTAATATGAATGCAATATGAATTTAATGATGCTGGGTCAGAATTACAATTTAATATTTCTCGGGACAAAGAAAAAGGGTTGTTAATCCTCTTGTGGCCGGTCAGAATAGCGGAGGCTAGGTACCTTGATTATTCAACCTGCCTGCCATTTCGTATTCTTCGAATAAGTATACATTCTTGTTTTGTATTTTAGTATATAATTAACTAATTTGTATTATTATAATTATATTATATTATTTATTTATGTTCAATATGCTGTGTTTTACCGTGGCGTAATCACATTCCTTTCTTCATAGCTTGAATGGGGTAGCCTATAATAAATAGTTTTATTTATGCTTATTGGAGGGCGAAATAAAGGGGACTTTCTTGTACTTGTTTAGTCATTCAAGGCTAATAGAATTACACAATGAATAGAGGAATTTAAAGTAGCATTTTTAGACTCAAAATGAATGGTAAGGTTAGGCTTTTTTTTTTTTATTACGATCGACTGCCTGATAAATTAATCACTCTTCTTGTGGGCGGGGTTTCCTCTCTGTTAAAATACTTACACCAATCACAAACTCGGATTAGGTAAGATTAGATAGCGTGTTTCTGATTGGATGCCCGAATTGAAAACGACTTCGCCGGGATGGTATCCAAACACGTCCGTAAGTGTGTGTACAGAACAACGCGGCTTGTACACCAGTGTGGTGTGTGAAGTTTTGTGCTGCCTCGTTGGGTTCGTTATCTATTCACTCGTTTTATTTTTGGAGAAATGGTGTTCATAAAGGACTTGTGATCTTGAAGGAATTATATTTTTGGTGAGTTTCTTTCAAATTCAAACCCGTCTGTATTGCAAACGTTCAGGTGATCCTGTGTTACGTAGTTTACTAGGGGCTAGGCCGCATTGGTGATATCCCACGACCACTAAGTTTGTTGCAGAGAGGGCCTGAATTGAGGATTGACGTACCCACTTACTACTACTGAAACAGGCCTAGACTTAGGCCCTATGTGACAAATACAACCAGTAGAGATTGTTTTCGCCCAGTTACTTTGGATATAATATTTTTCAAGGATGGATATTCACTCTGCCGTTCGTCGTTTTTGGATTCCTGTTTGCCTGATACTTTTTGGATTATCTTGTGTTGCTGTCAATACGCAAACTGCATTTTTGAAGGAGCCACAAACTGAAATAGTGGACCAAGGAACAAATCATGTATTGGAATGTAGCGTCAATAAAACCTATGTTATTGGGTTGTTATCAGTTTATTGGTTAAGACAGGACGTAGTCATCGCCGAGCGTACGTTAATTGAAAAAGAAGCATTAAAGGAATTTGTTGGTGACGATGAAGATCAATTGAATCGGTATACAATTGCGAAAACTGAACAAGGTAATATTGCCAATTATGAACTTCACATTGACAGGACACAGGGTGTGGACTCTGGTGATTACAAATGTGTAATTTGTGAGCACTCATCGTTGTCATTTGACTGTTTAAAAATTACTGAACATCAATCACAAGTAGCAACATTTACTGTAAGATACACACCGTCTGTGCCGGAATACCCGCAGTGTACCGGACTGGACACTCAGGTGTCTGTCAACACTGACGTTGAAGTAACATGCACATCACAGATTGGTGAGCCTAAAGTTGAGTTGAAATGGAAAAACAATGGTGTTGAGGTCAGTTCCGTAACAGAAAGAGAAGACTTGGAGAAAAAAATGATTTATCTCATGTACTCGTTTACAGCAACACTTGCCAGTTCAGGAATTGTGTTAAGTTGTTCATCAAGTAGCTCATATTTTCCATCGTATTCTGGATCCTGTAGCTTTAATCCACTTGTTGTTGTTGACATGCCAGTTGTTACTGTGACCTCAGGAGCTACGGAATACGAAGAGGGAACACAGGCTAATTTTACTTGTGCGGCATCAAGTGCAACACAGATAACAAACTTTGATTGGACTGTCGGTAATATACCAAGCAGTAGGTATACACAGGTTGATTTAGAAACAAAGTCTATCTTAACAATCGCGTCAGTGCAACTGAGTGACCACCGGTCAGTCATTAAGTGTGTTGTGACCAATAGCCAGGGTCAAAATGGCCAGGATCAGGTGATCATGGACGTCGTAGGTGGGCCTACAGGAATCATTCCAACAAGTAGGAATGACCCGTCTACTACAAAAGCATTGACAACTAAGGAAATAATAGTTATCACAACATCTGAGCCAGGAGGAAGTGGTGGAAATATTGGTGCTGCAGTTGGTGGCGCTGTTGCAGGTTTTGTTATCGTTCTCTTGTTAATATTGATTGTTTTATATTGTTACAAGCAAAGAAATACTAAGAATAGAAAAGAGAAGGAAATAGTATCTATCGGTGCACCACAAAATGGGTTAAGTAACCATGTGCCCACAAAAAAGATTGAGTATGAAGATGATGATGTGAAAAAGGAACCCCTCCCTGCCTCTGAGCCAGATGTGGTTCCAAGGCAACACAATGGTAACCATGATCCACGCAGTTGGTGGCGTGAATCCATGCCGGGAGATTCTTATCGCAAAGATGACAATGAATATCCAACTATTAAACGTATGCAGATGCCTTTTACTCAACGCCAACCATCTTTGGAAAATCTGCAAGAGCGAGTTGAGATGGATAATTATCGTAGCGGCTCTAACGATTATGACGATCGCCAATCAGAAAGTTATCGCGAGGCTCCAACTGATGGTCGCTACGATTACAATCCTTCACCAAGTGTTCACGGTAGTGACATGGGCTCCCATCCACCAATGAATCAGTATAATGATTATCACAACCCACAGTTTGATCACCCAGATAGCTACCATCGCCCTCCATCGGTGGATCATTACAGTGACTATAATTATCCCCAGGAAGACCCTCGATTACATCATTCCCGTTCCCCTGTGAATTATGGTCCACCACCTCAAGAAAGATATGACAATTATAGGGATTATGGTAGCTATGATCGTAGGACCCCTGGCAATGGTTATGGCCACAGGCCAGGAATTGATAACCCAAGCTATAGGGGAGAAATGTACCAAGATAATGATATTTATGAACGCAATCCAAATTACCCAGTGAATTACGATCCTGGCTACTCTGAGGACGGCTCGGTGTTCAGTGGTAGTACAGATAGGTATTATGATCACGACCCACGAATGGAAGAAGCTCGTTCTCCTCCATTTTACCCTGATAATAATGGTTATGCCTCATCAGATCGCCCCATTAGTCCATATGCTGATATTCCACCAGGTCAGACTAATAACTCTAGTGATGTTTTATACATGCAAGGACATGATGTTGATACGTCTGATCCCAGCTATGTTTAGAATTATGTTTTTTTTACATAATGGACCTAATCTGGTCAGTATGTTTGTGTTATAAGCGCGTACTGTTCTAAATTTCTCTTTTAAATCCTGTTAAATTACATTTGAGCGACACTGCGGAAGTGTTTGTTTAAGTATTATTTAAAGTAATTCTTACTCCATTCTTGTGAAATGAACATCTACATACACATAGTTTCTCCAGTCATGTGATTTTTAAATTTTAAACCAAAAATTTGGCGGAAAAATTACAAATTTTCACTATAATTTTTGTTTATATTGTATTGTCATTCAGGAACAGATTAATACTGTGTTCTTCTTACTTTTAACACATTGACTGCCAATAGAGCTGTGCATTGGTGTGTGCTATAAGCTTTACAGTGCGTTTTTTAGGACCACACGCTGGATTGGTGGCCGGTCAGCATTGTGTGCGAGTGCTTATCATACTCAACGCCGTTCTGCTGACTGCCGATTTTGTTCAGAATTATTAAAAAGATGAGAAAACAAAAAAGTTTAAGCGTGACAAAATTTTTTTACCGCAGCTCCAACCAGACCTTCCATTTGTCAAGTTCCTTCCTGGGCCCCTCTGTTTCAAATTCATGGATCCACCACTGGTGTCTATTGCTGACACAGTGTGTTGTCTGCCTTAATTGTTTTTATAAACGAAGTTGGGACTGCACTAAATGTTCTACATTTTACTTGCACAATCTTACATGGCAACCAATGTGTTAGAAATTAAATGTTAATCAAGTATCTGCCTTAATATGAACATGTTTAACTGGTGCTAAGGTAAATATAATCGCCATACAGGTAACTAGTGACTGGAAATTAAATGTACAGGGTACATTAATGTATTTGGCTAAAACTAGTCAGTTGAACTGTGATTCTGAACATTACAATATTCCGGTGTTTCGAACAATGTTGCACTGACATATGGTGTTAATATCGGCTTTAAAGTTTTATATTCCAAGAAACTGTATGCTCTTGTAATTGTTATAAATAATTACAAAAGCTTACAGTATGCTTTTGTAATTATTAAGTAGTTTAAATGAATTACTAAGCTGAAACTTACAAATAATTAAAATTCAATTTTCCTTATCTGAATTTATTGGTTTTTACAAGTTTCTTCCTGTTGCCGAGATTAAATCTTTGTATATTTGCATTATTGATTATAAAAAGTGTTTGTTCGTGTAGGCATAATTGATAATATTAAGTTCATCAAAGTGTTTTGTATTATTAGCAATCAGAATGGAGGGGGGTGGGCAGAACAAAATATTGATATTGTCAGAAACAGTTGACGAAAGTGTAATGAAATGTAATATAATGTTAAATCCTGTTTTTTTTGCTCAATTAATTTGGTTTCTACCAATAATTTCTATTATTAGTATGTTAAAGAGATTTAGGTCTTGATGGATTTGTTGATTGAATCATTTCTTCATTGATTTTAGCTGAAGATTTAGTTGAATAAAGTCAAAGCTTAACAATTCATAACATAAGTTTTTATATTAACCTATCAACCCAATGGTTAAACACCCACCAAGGTTTAAGAATGTTCATATAAATTATTGAAATTTAATTTTGATTTTTTTTGTATCAATTGATCAATTCGATTGTATTATATTGGTACATTGTGTGTATATCGTTGTTTGTTTTTTTTTCATAGCAACTAAAAGATGTTTTTTTCTGATAAATCTCATATTATCCTGTCAATATGGCTAGCTATGAGACATTTAGTCGTGATTGATTAACTGTATGTCTCCATGTAATATTTTATGTTTATAATACTTCTATGAGTTGATATTCATTTTACTGCAGTATTTAATCATATTTCTAAGTAATGTACCATCTGTCAAGAGGACATAGTTGTTAATATTTTGAACAAGAATCATTTTGTAAGTAAGTTTTGAAGATGTATATTTCTAACTTTTTTTCAATTGTATTGCAATTATTTTTGTCATACTATACAGTACATCATCATACTGTGTGTGTCTCTTTGTAAATCTTCTTTCAAAAAGATTACTGTCTAAAAACGTAACATTATTATTATGTAAATACAGATGTAGTGATTTTGATATGCAAAACTTTTAAAATCTTTCTTTTACAATCAGTATAGAGATGGATGGCATTACATTGTGTTTGGGCTACAGTCGTACATTCCATGGAAAGGTTCCAAGACCAATCTCCTGTACAATATTACAGTAGTTGAAAGACTTCATTTATGAAGAGTTTTCATTGTACAGAAAATATTTGTAATAATTTTGTCCAGATGAAGGCTTAATCTCTATGCTGTACTAGGCCTTCCAGTTATGACATATGACCCTTTCACGCACCATGCCCAGTTAACCGAAACATGAAATCCATCTCTATAAATAATTGCTATATTTTTGATAAAATATTGTAAGCTTTGTTGAATTAGATGATAAATTTATCAGATTATGTAAAATCTATGGGAAGACTGCGATTAAAATGAATTTACAATAACTTTAAGACCAATCGTAGTTGTATTATATTGTGTACATGTACATAACATAAACTTGTATTTCTTATCGCCATGTTAAAAGAACTCTTGTACTTTGGTCAAGTAGGGTCGACGTGAAACATTTAGCTGGAATACGAGAAGTCTAGTCAAACAATAAGAGATTAACAGCTGATATTTTGGTGCTCTATCATCCCACCCATCGTATGAGGTGTGAGTGTTGGGATAACACCTGTGTAATGAAGAATCGGATTTTGGGTTGTATGCATCAGGTGTTGAATAAATCCTATGGAAATTACTTCAGTTGGTGTTTGTTATTTTGTTGACTTCAATCCATCAATTGTTTCTCTAAAAGATTATTTTTTAGCTCAAATTCAACATCTTTAAACAGTTGAAATCATATAACATTCAGACAAGGTTATTTTATGTATTTATTTTCATTTATTACGGTATATGTCCCAAGTGGCTACAGTACAGTGTAGCATACACGTGAATGTGAATTGTTTTATTGCCTTGATAAAGTTTGGTTTCCATACAGTTGCTACATGATATTTTCGACAGATTTCGGTGATGCTAATTGGTCTGTCAAATCATCGGGCAGCCTTTCCGATTGTGCTGAGGACTGCTACTCATTACAACGATTGCGTTGAAAACACTGTAGCGATTTTAAGCAATCCAGGCTGAAGCTCGGTTTCCATAGAATCGCTCACCCTATGAGCAACTTATCGGGAAGGTTAAACATGGTTCAACTTTGCCGAATACGTTATGGAGACAATTCAGGATGCATTGCTTGCTTCCCTGACACAATCGGGAAGGCACCCCTATTCGTCTGCAATGCAATCGGCAAAGTTGAACCAGGTTCAACCATGGAGGAATCTTCCATGGTTCAACCTTTCCTGACAACGGTCACTGTTAGGGTGAGCGGTTCTATTCTATGGAACCGAGCTTTAAAGCGTGGTTTCCATACAATCGCTACACAGCTATTGCTTTCGGAGATGCTGATTGGTTGGTCGAATTGGGGAGCCTTCCGATTTCAGTCTGGGGAATGGTACGTACTGTAGTACAACCATTAGGCCTATACTGAAAACACTAGCGATTTTGTGCTTTGTACAATATTTCAGCGTTTTAAATTTTGAGTACAATACAGTTAAAAAGCTAAATGATAATGTAGCATATTGAATTTTTTTGTCCATATTTCAGAAACAAATGCACACGGTACCAGGTAGTGGAAAGCATCATATGTCCTTACAAGTCATGATGATTGTATTCTTCTCGCATTGTCTATATTCATTTCATACTACAAATAAAGCAATCATTAAAAATACAACTACGGTGATTTTGAGTCGCGTCCCTATTCAGTACGCTCGTGCATCATAGGCTATAATAGCCTTCTCCATATGGGATCCGTTGTTTGGGAACATATGCTATCTAATTATCCACAGTAATAAAATGTAATTTAAAATGTCAATCCACGTTATATCAATTTTATACACAACAATCAATCAATCCATTACTAAAACTACAATCCTCGCATCCATCTCAGTTGTACAGCAGCCAAAGCTGGAAGGAGTGATCTGATTAGAAATTTGATGGTTTTCTCATATTTTTAAGGTTTCCCATATTTTTAAGGAGGATCCACACTCCCCAGAATTTTGAAAGTTTTCCCAGAAAGTATAACATTTTAATTGTGAATATTAAAATGGCTCCTAAGTGTAGGCTATATGTTCAAAAATTAGCTTGTGAGCTACAGTGATGTTAATTGCTTTTGTTAATCCTCGCCTCCTTAGATTTACAGTTTTATTCTGTATTGTGAATTTTGGTTTTTTTTTAGTTTTATTTTAGTGTATGTACAAATTGTATTGTGATTCTTATAAAAGAGTGAATGATTGAACATCATTTTTCTCTTTCAAACATTACGTTACAATTTAAACAACTACGAATACGAATAAAGTGTTTAGATTTTATATAGGCCCATATACACTGTACATATATAGATTATTATATATATATATATATATATATATATATATACATATACACACACATATACACATACACAGCCAATTACAATACATTGATTATTGCATTCTTGATAATATAAAGATGTGTTTTTTTGTAATGATGGAAGATCAATTTCACATACGCTTCACCTCGGGTAATGCAATAACCCACTAAGCATCACACATGTCGTTAGCGAAGATGAATGGATGCATAAAAATGTCAAGCAATGCTCTATTGTCTTTGTGTTGTAGCTATTAACTCTAGCAAACACCCGCCACGGAAACCTCTAGAGGTTGCCACCCATAGTTCAGACCAATCTGAATAGGCCTAGACCTATATATCTATATGTTACATTCTAAAATAGCCAATTTTTGAAGAAGTCCGCTAAAGAGTTTTCAGCTACATTAATTTTATCCTCTCCTCCCGACCTATACAGTTATGCGAACATTCTTTTTTGTGACTTGCTTTATTTTTTTGTTTAGTTCCATTGCTAGGCCATGGAAGGCCATGGCAGTGGCGGCGCCATCGGGGACAGATGTATCCCCTGTTAGTTTTGACCAGTCGGATGAAAAAAAGAGGATTTTTTTTTTGAATTATTGTTGTGTGTAATTCCAGCTAAAACTGCTCATGACAAGTGCTAAGGAGTAAGCCTTCAGACACAAAGGGGCGTTAGTTCGGACCCACTGGACTCCGTCGGATAACTTAGCCCCATGGTCAATGTTTCAGTTATCTCTGGGTACTACGTGGTTATTGGTTTTTAAAAAGGCCTATATTTACAGTGAAGTTTTTTTTAATTCTAAGCCCGATTCTAAGCCAAATAGTACGGTAACTTTTATTATTTTTAAATCACTGTTTTTAATTTTTTTTTTCTTTACTTTAATTTCATAGTATAATACATATAAAAGTATCAAAATGCACGCCATCGTGTCGGGATTCAATATCTCGACATTAATTATTTCGTCATCAGGAATCTGATGTTACTTTATTAATTACTTTAATTTCTCTTCCAAATTACAGAATAATATACAAGGGGATGGAGTGACGTCATGAGGTATGTATAGTTTTGTTTTTTTCATTCATAAGGATTTTAACTGATCTAAAAACCAATTCATTTTGTGTGGAATAAAATAATAATAAGTCCGACGTTGGTAGATCACTGTCAATAAATTGATAAGATCCGGATCTGTTCTTTGCAAACTTCGGTTGATTCTATAAACGTGTTCTGTTCTGTATCATTTCAAAGTAGGGTCTATATGGACCTATTTTCGAATTAGACCTAATTGGGTGGTAATTAAGTAAACGAAAACGCTTCTAATATGTGTCAAATAGGCTGATGATTCGTTTCTTGATTGAGTCAAATAATTCATTGAATTATGTAGTTCACATTTTGTAACACTACAGCCTATCTATCGGTAATATAAACAGAGGCGTTGGCAAATACAAACACGTAAAGTCATCATTACTTTCAAACACTAAATGTGCGACGATTAGAAAGTATTATGACGTCAGAATGATAAGGTGTGTGGTGACCTGCAAGACGTGTAGTTTCCGATTGCCTGTACGGTATTAACAATACTAATACATAATGGTATACATAATTGAAACACAAACGTTTGTGCATAAAGACACTTCTTCATTGCACTGTACTATGAGGCTTGGGGGAGGGGGGTTATCACACAGTTTAGGGGCCACAGCCACCTCATTCATATTATGGGTGGAGCTTAGACTATAAAGATTCATGTTTTTCAAAATGTCTTAATTTTACAGTACGGCTACATTAATTTTAATATTTCTACATCATATATGTTTTGTTAAAAAAAAACAAAGAGGGAATGAAAAATACGTTCACCTCAGCTCCACTATTGCAGTGGCTGTGGCAAAAAAAACATTTAGGATGTATACGCAACACTAAATGTCCATAAATTGCATTCTCAGACTTAAAATATGTAATTTTTGAAGTGTATTAAATTGACATTATGTCATTAAATTTTAAGCACGAAATTACTTTTCGTACATTTTGTAGGGAAATAGGGAGGGATGAGTCGTAAGCGTGTCACCTCGGCACCACTATGGTTGGGTCTGAGGCGAAAAAAGGATGCAGCAGCCCGAAATATAACATTAGACTTGTATATGGGTGAGGCTGGGCTGAGAAAAACAAATAGTACTGAAAGAATTAAATAATATAATAATATATAGGCCTATGTATACTGTTATAATATTAGATGTTTATTACGCCATTAAACTATCAAATAGTGTAAACGTAGGCGTGGACTGTGTGTACAGACTGTTTGCTTTTCATGTTTACACGGGCCTATATTCTCTACTGCATGTTTATATTTATCAAAATATCTATCAATATGCGTGCATACGTATTTTTTTTATTACTATGTGTTATCACGTACACGCGAGAGGCTTGTTTGACTATTTATTCGTCATCAGTTATTAAAATATTATACATTTTTGGTATTCATATTTGGAATGAATTGTAAATTCTTGAGATAAGCTGATTGTATGCGTCCTATTGAAACGTATTCTGTGACGTATGAGAGAATACAATTGTGGTATTGACCAAGCAATATAATTCCCGGATGGTACGTTGTTCCGGTACATCGGAACCAGGTTATACAAATCGGCCATTATTAGGTACGGTAATTGTTACATATAAAGGGTAGAACATACGTATATGACAGGGTGGAGGCGGGAGAAAGCCCCGCCGGACAAGATTATTTTGCCGGTCAAAACCAAAGTTATGGTGATTTCAGTTTGTTTGACCATTGTAAAGCTCTGTCCAGATTTTTCAAATTTTCTTCTCTTCATAAAACTGTTGTAAGTCCATATATAGTCATGATATGCCTATATATGGTCATGATGTGCCTATATATGGTCATGATGTGATGTCATCGTGACCATGTTTAGGCATGTCACATGTTTTTGTCATACAAAATTTGAGATTCAGGACCAAGGCACTTGTTAGCCCCTTGGCTAGCAGCTACTACTATTGATTGATGAAAATTCATTAATTAGATGATCTTGATATATTTATTTCAATAAATTGATGATGTCTCATTATTTTATCGATTGATTTGATTGATTGACTCCATGATTGAATGAATACGATTGTAATTGTGGAGCTGCTTAGCTCAGTCGGCTGTTAGTGCCACTGTGTGTGCGCTGAACCGTTGAGATCTCTGATCCCGGTTCAATTCCCATCACTGCTCTCCTTGTATTTAAACTGGAGGGCTGAAATACAAGTTACGAAAGCGCACCGTCTTTCGGATGAGACATTTGAGCCGTTGGTCCCGTGTGCATAGTGCACGTTAAAGAACGCAGTCTCTTCGGAAAATACGGGATTGTCCCCCGATGTACTGCCCAATCACCACCAGAAGGACGCCATTAATATAAGTCTTCTTCAGACTTTCGTGGGATATCGTTAGTGTTTACACCGAATTCATCCATTGATTCATTGATTAATGTTTTAATATACTGTGCTGATTTTACTTAGGCCTATGTATACATCGGACGGTTTAGGCCTTTTCCACACTTTAAGTGGTTGCAGTCGTGAATGCTGTTCACTCTTTACAGATTCAAGATATTAATAAAGGGCCTAACAGTAGGGAGTAAAGTTATTGTTCCAAGGAAGTTTTGAGTTTAATATTTACATTGCTTCCAAAGTTTTTGGTAAGAATTTTGTTTTCCAGTTTTGTTTAGATCACTAGGCCTATAGGACAAATTTGACTTCTGTTCCTGGTTATTTAGTTTCCTGGTGTTTGAGGAAAGATTGTAATTTTAATAATGTGTTGACCGGATTAAAAATATTTAGATTCGAATTTCGAAGAATTTAAATCGACTGGTTTGGAAATTGTTCCTTCAATATTACTCACTGTATCACACAGACCAACTCGATTCCGAGTTATGTGGAACAAAATTTATGTATTGTTATTTGGAATGGAGTTGTGATTCAAATCGAAAATTTACGGGTTTAATGTCCATGTTGCTCATTCCTCGTAATCAGCTACCGGTATGCCCTGTTGAATTGAAACATCCGGAACACGCCCCTCCTGTGTTGGCTAGCTATTTGAACGGTTATAACAATAATTTACAACAGAAACGGGGCCAAAACAAATCACGGTTAACACAGTATTCTTAAAAGGATTTTTAGCGCAAAGGGGTTATGTATGATTTTAACCATTTAAAAAATAAACCAGTTATTTCGCGTTATTCAGTGAATAACCAAAGAATTACGCATGAGTATTGGGGTTACGGTATGTGCTGGTGTAAACGCATTTTTGTGACGCCCTTCAATCATCATTATAGCTGTTATAATCGATCTATCTTTGAAAAAAAATCAATGACGCGCTTAATGGAACATAAATGTCAGATATATACGTTAACCGTAATAATATTATCTCGACTAAATTGTTTTTTTTTTTTTTTTTGTTAGTTTGTTGTGTCATTATTGTCTAAACTCGTGTTCCCGCCATTTTAAACTACGGTCAGCCTACCGATCAACAAGACAAATTATATTGTCTTTCATTATATATAGGCCCACGTTCTGTTGAGTTTTTGCTATATCATCATCGAATTAAAGACCAATGATGCGTATTATCGCAGAAATGATTACACGAACACAATCATTAATACGGTATTGATTATCGTTAACGATTAATTGTTAAATTTGAAAAGATACCAAAATATATTGATATTGATCAATGATTGATTGAAGTGTATTAGAAGTTTTCTGTTCAGATAACCACATAGGAAGTATCTGTGGAAAAGGATCTTAGTGCGTGGTTTAGGTTGTTTCCATTCAGTCATGGCCAGTCTGTCTGTGCGATTACTGATAGAGCTGACCTTCAATCAGTTAAAGTAAGCTTAGTTCTGACATGGTTCTGATGAGGTATAAGCGTAAGTGGTTCTGTATAATATCGCTTGTTTATTCAAGATTCCAGAGATACTTTTGTGAAATTAAAATAAAATTTGATGTCTCTGAATTCAGTAGATCATTTTTATTCAACAATGTTGAGCATCTTTGCTCTTTATGAAGAAAAATGGTTTACCATAAATATTTATTGATTGAGGCGAACACGAAACTACTTTGTGAGATCATGTTCCTCTTCGATATATTTCATCATCAACATCACGAGACAATGTGATCACAACTCGTCAGTCGCTTCTTTGTGACCCGGTTCCTGAGAATATCGAAAGGTTATAACAACTGTTATTGACTTAACAGAAACTATTACAATTTCATTAAGTTATTCGTGATATACTTCCAAACACGACTATGAGAATTCGAATTATCCACGCGTTTAAAACACGGTCTACTGGAATAAGTTCAATACTCGTGTTGTTGATCTTTTCAAAAGTGGCAACTTAAATTGTATACAGGACTATTATACTAATAGGCCTAAATAATAATAATAATAATAATAATAATAATAATAATAATAATAATAATAATTAATAATAATAATAAATAATAATAATAATAAATAATAATAATAAATAATAATAAATAATAATAATAATAATAAATAATAATAATAATAATAATAAATAATAATAATAATAATAATAATAATAATAATAATAATAATAATAATAATAATAGTGTAGTTTTATATAGCGCACATATCCATCTAATGTAAGATGCTCAGGGCGCTAGATATGTGGACTATGAACTCGATCAATGACTTTTTTCGCCCATAATAGTAGAATAAGAAAAACACCATCAGTTTTAAATATGCATTCACCAGACCTAACCCGACCAATACTTCCAATTTTCACGAAGACCCGTCTGATTTTAGAGGTCCTCTTCCCTGAAATCTTGTTTTATTGCTCCCTATCCTTCGCGCTATCACTTGTATTTTATAAGAAGACCGAGGCTGAATTGCTTAAAACATATGAACAAAATAAGAACAACTTGAGGTGCAAAATAAGAGTATTTAAAAACAAATTAGAAATGAACCGAAATCAAGCTAGTCACATAAATAGTGTATAAACTAAGACTCATGTGATTTCTTCCGTCTCAGAAAAAGCTACAGAGTATCA